CCCGGGCAGGTCACAGTGGTGGTTCTGGGCCCGCTGACCAGTTTAGCAAGGGTGAGTGATGTTAGGGCCGCCTCAATCTACACCTCAAAGTGCACCTCAAAGTGCACCTCAAAGTGCACCTCAAAGTGCACCTCAAAGTGCACCTCAAAGTGCACCTCAAAGTGCACCTCAATCTACACTTCAAAGTGCACGTCAAACAGGGACACCGCAGGCGAATGGCATGAACAGCACAGGCGAGTGACCCCTCATCCTCCTGCAGCCTACCAGCAATGTCGTTCTGGGTGGCGCCTTCAGCCCAGCCCCTGTCCCTCATCATCTCCCTCCGTGCTGTCCCTCATCATCTCCCTCCGTGCTGTCCCTCATCATCTCCCTCCGTGCTGTCCCTCATCATCTCCCTCCGTGCTGTCCCTCATCATCTCCCTCCGTGCTGTCCCTCATCATCTCCCTCCGTGCTGTCCCTCATCATTCGGCCCAGCCCCCATCGCCCCACCACCATCTCCTGTGCCTGCTTGCCCTTCCTCTCCCCTCACTCCCCCAGGCGCTACAGCTGGGCCTGTCTGGCCGGTGCATTCGACCAAGCCCCCGTCAGTCATCATCTCCCGCTGTCTCTGCTGTGCAATTTCCCTTCCTCGCCCCCCCACCCCCCCCCCCCCCCCCCACAGGCTCTGCAGCTGGATCCGTCCTTCCCCCAGCACGTGGCGGAGATCATCATCCTGGGCGGCGCCTTCTTCACCAACGGCAACGTCAATCCCGCGGCCGAGGCCAATGTGAGTGGCGAGGCCAATGTGAGTGGCGAGGCCAATGTGAGTGGCGAGGCCAATGTGAGTGGCGAGGCCAATGTGAGTGGCGAGGCCAATGTGAGTGGCGAGGCCAATGTGAGTGGCGAGGCCAATGTGAGTGGCGAGGCCAATGTGAGTGGCGAGGCCAATGTGAGTGGCGAGGCCAATGTGAGTGGCGAGGCCAATGTGAGTGGCGAGGCCAATGTGAGTGGCGAGGCCAATGTGAGTGGCGAGGCCAATGTGAGTGGCGAGATTTGAGAGTTGAGTCGACTTGAAACTCAATATGAGCGGCGAAAGCCAATGTGAATGGTGGGGCCAATGTGAGTGGCAAGAAAAAAGAAGCCTCCCACCCAACCCCTTTCTTGTACGCTATTCCATTGTGCCTCTGCTGCTCTCTTCGATTGTGCATCTGCTGCTCTCTTCCATTGTGCCTCTGCTGCTCTCTTCGATTGTGCATCTGCTGCTCTCTTCGATTGTGCATCTGCTGCTCTCTTCCATTGTGCGTCTGCTGCTCTCTTCGATTGTGCATCTGCTGCTCTCTTCCATTGTGCCTCTGCTGCTCTCTTCCACTCACGTCGTTCCCCATCCTTGTTACTGGCTGCAATAGGATTGACGGGTGCAAAGTGAGGCGGTGGGAGGTGGGTAGGCGTGACGGGCAGTGGGGAGATGGCACGTCATCAGGGAGGGTGTGCATGGGTTGGCTTGGGGTGGGTGTGAAGGTTCTCGCTCACTGCTGCCATCCTCGCACCCTTCCTCTTTTGCAGACTTCTGACTGCCATGCGAATGCTCTTTGTGGACTCCCATGATCCGTCCAAATGATCCATCCCCATGCCATGCCCCATCGACTGTATCCCCCCCGGCAGATATTTGGAGACCCAGATGCAGCAGATGCCGTGTTCACGTGTGGCGCCAAGTGCACAGTCATAGGCATCAACATCACGCACCAAGTCACCCTCTCAGGTGATTGAAGCAAGTCACACGTCGCAGTTCTACTACAGGCACCAACAGATACCAGGTCATTCTTCAGATGGTTCCAACCAATACCAGGTTCTATTCTAGGTGGTTGCAACACAGCCTGTAAATTCTTGCTATTGCCATGTACAGCAACTATCATTTCCTTTCCCACCACATGTGCTGTGTGTGTGCTGTGCATGCTGTGTGTGCTGTGCATGCTGTGCATGCTGTGCATGCTGTGTGTGCTGTGCATGCTGTGCATGCTGTGTGTGCTGTGCATGCTGTGTGTGCTGTGCATGCTGTGTGTGCTGTGCATGCTGTGTGTGCTGCGTGTGCCGTGCGTGCAGTGAGGGACATGGAGGACATAAGAGACAGCAAGGGGCCGTTTGGGCGCTTCCTGTACGACACGTCGCAATTCTACTACCGCTACCACAAGGAGTCGTATGGCATGGATGGTACGTGGCAGGGTTGGTGGGTGGATGGATGGTGTGTTGTTAATTTGCTTAAAACACATCGCAGTTCTACTACCGGTATCACAAAAAGTCATATGGCATGGATGGTGTGTGCTGGGGATGGTACCTAAATGCTACCTTACACTGTTAAGCCTCCCTTTCCCCAAACCTCCTCCCACTTCATAACCCCCCCACAGCCGTGCACCTGCATAAACACCCTCCCCAGTCAACCCCCCCACCCCTTTCCACCTCCTTGGTGTGGCAGCCGTAGAATACTCGGCTCTCCACACTGCCAGTTCCATCCCATCGCCTTCTCCCCCTTCTCAATGCCTCTCAACTCAAAACCCGCCCGAATTGCCTAATTTCCCCTGACCGCTGCTCCCCCCTCCATGCACATCAGTCCATTGCCGAACCCCACCATGGTCATGCCACCCGCCTCACCATGGTCATGCCACCCGCCCCACCATGGTCATGCCACCCGCCCCACCATGGTCATGCCACCCGCCCCACCATGGTCATGCCACCCGCCTCTGACTTGCGTTTATGACTCCCCTGTCACACCCTCTGGCCTCTCACCACTCCTCTCCCCCCAATGTGCTCTGTGCAGCAGTGCACCTGCATAACCCCTCATCCCTCGTCCCCTCATCCCTCATCCCCTCATCGCTGATTCCCCGCCTGTGCCCCATGCAGCAGCAGTGAGTCTGCACGACCCCACTGCCATGGTGACCACTGTGGACGACCCAGCAACACTTGCACTGCGAATGCCCACATCAGAACCTCCTCCCCCCCCTGTCTCTCCCCTCTGTGTGACACCGTGCAGCGGCGTACTGCACGACCCCACCGCCGTGGTGTTGCATCAGTAACTCGCCTCTCTTCCCTCCCTATTTCTTCTCACCCACTCCTCTCTTCTCTTTTCCCCACCATGTGCCCCATGCTGCAGCGGTGTACCTGCACGACCCCACCACCATGGTGGCTGCCATCCCCCTGACTCGCATCCCTCTGCCCTCCCACCCACTCCTCTTCTCCCACCCCCCCCCCCCCCCCCCCCCCCATGTGTCCCGTGCAGCGGTGTACCTGCACGACCCCACCACCATGGTGGCAGCCATGGACGATTCGCTCTTCACCTTCCACGAGGGCGTGGTGCGTGTGCAGCTCGACGGCATCGCCAAGGGACTCACTTTGCTAAACTACACCAACAAAGTGTGAGTACCTTCCCAAAGGGTGGATGTGATGTGATGAAATACGCTGCTGTGATGTCTGTGGTTGGAAAAGAAATTGGTAGCAGCAGGAGAGTGCGACTGCTAAGGGCAAAGTATAGAATGCAGGAAAAACATGGAGAGCTCCGAGAATCGAACTCGGGACCTCTCGCACCCGAAGCGAGAATCATACCACTAGACCAAGCACCCACGGACTTAGCGATTGTTGTATTCTTTTCTGTTTCATGATACAACCACCCCGTCTTCAGAGCTCTTAACTCTTTCTCCCCCTCTGGTGTTTTTTTCTCCTGGTGCAGTTAAATCGCCCCACAACATGGTGTTCCCCACTGCCATTAACCTGCATGGTTCCTAATTGCTTGATCTCACTTCATCATCCTCCCTCTCCCCCTTGTCGCCACCCAGGTGGAACACCCCCACAGCATGGTGTGGTATACCACCAGTGCGGGTGGCGGTCACAGTGGATGCCGATGCTGTCTCTGCCCTCGTCAAGCACCGCCTCTCCGCCCCCGCCCCTCCTGCACTCCATTGAACCCGGCCTGTTAACCTGCTGCACGGGTGGGAGGGCTGGTGGCAGTGCCAGGGGATACCTGTGGTCTCTGCTCCCCTCGTCCAGCACCGCCTTTCCTCCGCCCGTCCTCCCCACAAGCAGCGCCTCCCAGTCCTGTGTCCTTAAGAGCAACGCCTCAACCTGTGCTTCTGCCACCATCCCCTCACCCTCCTCCTCACCCTCCTCCTCAACCTCTTCATCCCCGCACCCTCCTCACCCTCGTCACCTCACCCCTCACTCGCATCGTCTCTCTCATTCCTGGCATCTCACAACTCAACTCTGCTTGGGCCATGCTGCCCCACCCATACTATGACGCAGCAGCTGTGATTCCGCTGCACCCCCACCCAGCCCCACCCCCAACTCGGCACCTCTCTTCAGCCCGTGGCATCAGTCTGACCCATGGTGGCATGGAGCGGATTGTTGACATGCAGTCCACCCCTGCATTCTCCAGCTGGTGTGGTGTGCTGTAATTTATCCACGTGAAGCAGCTTTGTTACTGTGGATTGTATCAAAGCGGGTCCACCTTCAAGTGCTAAGTAGGTACTCCACTCCACTACTCTGTACATTTGTTAGGCTCCTCTAACCTGTGGGCCACGTACTGTCAGTCCACTCCACTGCCCTGTACATACCCGCCCTGCATGTTTGAAGGACATAGACAAAATTCCACACCCATTCCTCCAGCTGTTTGAATTGTGGTACAGATTTGCAAATACTGTGGGGGAAATTATTTTACACAAAAAGGGAGTGGCAAAACCCTGAAATTACAAACCCTAACCCCACATTCTGTTCACCCTACTAGGGAGCGCTTCTCTTTTACCAGAGCCCAGCACAGCGTACAGCCAACCCACGCAGGCTACATGCGCAAGCAACTAGACTGCTTATTGGCGAATGGGCTGGCTGGCTAGCCGGCTAGACAGCTAGATGGCTGGACGGCAGCAAGATGGTGGCGGCTGCACGGCTAGACGGCCAACATCACTCCGGTTGGATGGCCATGGCTAGACGGCCATGGCTAGACGGCCATGGCTAGACGGCCATGGCTAGACGGCCATGGCTAGATGGCCATGGCATCGCCGAAGTTGCGCATGAGAAAGATGGCCCCTCCGACCGCCGCCACGGCCTTCAGCAGCCGCTGCACACACGACATGACGGCGGGGTTGCCATGGGGGATGGCAGGGGGGTTGCAGGGGGGTTGCAGGGGGGATGCAGGGGGGATGCAGGGGGGATGCAGGGGGGATGCAGGGGGGATGGCAAGGGGGATGGCAAGGGGGATGGCAGGGGGGATGGCAGGGAGGATGCAGGGGGGATGCAGGAGGGATGCAGGAGGGATGCAGGGGGGATACAGGGGGTTTTGATGCACACGGTGAGGGACGCGGTCACGTAAAACGGAAAGACGAGGGGCGGATGGGGAGGAACGAGTTGAACATAGCAGGGACGACGGTAACCAGATGCGAGTCACGAATCCCGCAAGGCTGCTTTCATAACGAGCGGCGTTCATAACGAGCGGCGTTCATAACGAGCGGCGTTCATAACGAGCGGCGTTCATAACGATTGGCGTTCATTACGAACAGGGTTCATAACGTCGCGATGAAAGCAGCTGAGCCGCAGCTGAATGGCATCCGATCCCCAAGTCGGGATCGATGGCACAGGGACGATCGAGCAGCGAGTGGCGAGATGCGATCTCGTTGTTCCTAGATGGGGGACACGGAAGCGGGAAAAAAGCGGCCGGGTACGAGGCCGAACGGGGGCGATCCATCTGTTGCCTGGCTGGGAGCGAGACTGGATCGACCTAACGCGTCACGCACTAACGCGTCACGCAATAACGCGTCACGCACTAACGCGTCACGCAATAACGCGTCACGCACTAACGCGTGACGCACTAACGCGTCACGCACTAACGCGTCGAAGCATCTGGCTCGCGAGTGCGTCAACGACGAAGAGCATCTACCAGTGGAAGCGGCACGGCACGGCTCGGCACGCACCAGATTGGCGGCGAGGCGCTCTTCATCGTTGACCTGCGCCGCCAACCACGCCTTCGCGGATGCGACGTAACCCTTGGCCATGGCGGACTGGCGTGATTTAGAGCTGAGTTGATGTGGGTGTGGAAGGTCGGAAGAGACTCGATATTTTTTTGATGACGGCCGGAATGACGGCAGCGTAGTGGGAGTGCGCAGGTTTGAACTCACATGAACTCACTCGCTAAGTCTCCCTGCCGCAATTCGCCAATCTCGCATCTCATAAATGGTAACCAGGTACCATCGCCAAAATTCCGAAAGCCCCACTTCAAGTCAAAGCGGAATCGCTGGAACCAACCCTAAAACCAAGCCGCCTAAGCTACTATGTCCCTAATCTAGTAGTACTGAAGGCCCGTATTCAGGCCCCCGTTTTTCCATGCGACCGTCCATGACTTACCGCGCTCATCGCGGTGCAATGGAGTGCGCCGCATCCCTACACCTCGTCGGCGCGCTGCTCCTGGTGGCGTGTCTTCGTGTCGCACGAGTCGACTGCGTTCCCTTGGCCGACTCCCAGGGTGCGTGCTCTGCGCGTTAAGCACCGTCTTACCGGTAGCGTGCCTCCCACGGCTTCTAGTAGTTTCACTCGCTCCGTGTCGCTTTTTCAGTTGGGCGTGGAGCGGGGATGGTGGTGCCGGGACGAAGGGCGGGCAGAGTGGAATGGTGGTGCCGGGACGAAGGGCGGGCAGAGTGGGAATGGGCTGTTCGCAGGATGACGCGAGTGTGATCGGGGAGCAGGTGAGCAGCAGAGGTGGGAGAGGAGGTGGGGAAGGAGGTGAGGTAGGAAGCAGGAGTAGAGGTGGGAGAGGTGGGAGAGGTGGGTGAGGAGGCATGAGAGGAGGTGGGAGACAGGACCATTGCTTGATTCGTAGCTGCTCCCTGCCCCTCCCCATGTTTCCCTCGCTGCTCCCTGCCCCTCTCCGTGTCTTCCCCAGTGGCCTCTAAGTGCACGCGATGCCGTGAGCACTCAGATTCCTAAGTGCACGCGATGCCGTGAGCACTCAGATTCCTCTTCAGGAACTGGCACCACGTGGAGGGCATGTGATGAGCCCAGGTGGAGCCGTGCAATCCCCTCTCTCCCAGTCCACGTGGAGGAGGGCATGTGATGCGCTTTCCTCTCATGTCCACGCTCCTCTCATGTCCACGCTCCTCTCATGTCCACGCTCCTCTCATGTCCACGCTCCTCTCATGTCCACGCTCCTCTCATGTCCACGCTCCTCTCATGTCCACGCTCCTCTCTCTCATTCTCTCACTCCTTGGCTCTCTCTCCTCTCGTTCACGCCCTGCCCTCCCCCCCTCCTGCCGCCAGCGCAAGTGCTGCTGGACTGTCAGAAGGCGTGGAACAAAACGTTTGACGGCTGAGTGGTTGGTGGGGACTGCAGCAAGGCGAAAAACATCTCGTGCAATTCCCAGAGCATGATAACGGCCTTGTGAGTGGTAACAAGCATGGGAGTGATAACAGGCATGATGTGAGTGGTAACAGGCATGTGAGTGGTAACAGGCATGTGAGTGGTTGATAACAGGCATGTAGGCAGGGAAGAGAAGAGGAGAGGGAGGGAAGGGATGGCAGGGAGTGGAAGGGACCCTAAGAAGGGAAGGTGGGGATGGGTTTAGTGAAGGGATGGGAGGGGGTTCGCTTAAAGAAGGGATGGACGGCGGAGACGGGAGGTTCAGAGAGGGCAGAAACTAGAGAGGGAGAGAGGGCTTGGAGGAGCCTTGAAGCCTCCTGCACCTCGCCCCCCCTCTCCTCCTCGTCCTCGCCCGCCCCTCCTTCCTTTTCTTCGGGGTCATACTCGGAACCGCTCTCGCCTCCGCTACCCGGAGAGAGAGCTGCGCGCCTCTCCACCCCAACCCATTCTCCAGCCAACCCATTCTCCAGCCAACCCATTCTCCAGCCAACCCATTCTCCAGCCAACCCATTCTCCAGCCAACCCATTCTCCAGCCAACCCATTCTCCAGCCAACCCATTCTCCAGCCAACCCATTCTCCAGCCAACCCATTCTCCAGCCAACCCATTCTCCAGCCAACCCATTCTCCAGCCAACCCATTCTCCAGCCAACCCATTCTCCAGCCAACCCATTCTCCAGCCAACCCATTCTCCAGCCAACCCATTCTCCAGCCAACCCATTCTCCAGCCAACCCATTCTCCAGCCAACCCATTCTCCAGCCAACCCCTTCCCCCGTCCTCTTCTTCCTCCACCCCCCCCCTCCTCCTCCTCCTCCTCCTCCTCCTCCTCCTCCTCCTCCTCCTCCTCCTCCTCCTCCTCCTCCTCCTCCTCCTCCTCCTCCTCCTCCTCCTCCTCCTCCTCCTCCACCTCCACCACTCGCACCCCGGCCACCACCCTCCCACTAAGGCGGAATGTGTGTGCGCTGGGGAGCGTCCTGGGAGGAGAAACCTTTCGGAGAATGCCCGGCGTTCCGGAGTTGCCACCAGCGACGAACCCTGACGGCCCTGGCTGTCCCCCATCGTTTCCCCTCCCTGGTCGCCACGGTCAATGAGTCCGTCAGGACGACAACTAACAGTAAACCGCGTTTACGCAACAGTGGATCTGTAAAAAACCGGCACTTAGTGGCGGGAATGCCTAAGCACCCTAGAATGTACGCGTTTTGGCTAATGTTGAAGGCCACTTAGTGTCTAAGCCTGGTCTGAACTAAAAGCTTGAGATTGAGCTCGGGATGAGCTCAATCTCAGAATTTCGCAACCGTAAATTGTAAACCAGCGCGGCCAATATCGCGCTGGTTCTTATCGCAAACACTTTGATGTTCGCGTTGAACTCGAACCCGTTCGAACCTAAAAACACTTTCGAACTGAACATGTTTGAGTCATGAAAATGCTCATGTCTAGGTGATAAGAGGCATGTGAGTGGACACTGGTGCTTTTGATGCGAGCAGAGTTTTGTGATTGAGATGATTGAAGGAACGCATGGGACTTGACCCTCGGAGCGTGAATGGCAGCATGGCTGTCAGAACGCCAATTCCTCATGGTTTCGTCCCCTCCCCACCCCTCTTCTCCCCTGGTCCTTCGATCCTTTTCTCCGTATGCGTCATCACTCTTTTGCTCCCTCCATCCCTCCTTCCATTCTCTCCTTCAAACTCTGCTTCCTCTCTCCTTCAAACTCTGCTTCCTCTCTCCTTCAAACTCTGCTTCCTCTCTCCTTCAACCTCTGCTTCCTCTCTCCTTCAAACTCTGCTTCCTCTCTCCTTCAAACTCTGCTTCCTCTCTCCTTCAAACTCTGCTTCCTCTCTCCTTCAAACTCTGCTTCCTCTCTCCTTCACTCTGGCTTTCACACGCTCCCTGTCATGGTAGACAACAGCACATCGTACCACCTTCTTCCCTGCCTCTTCACATGCTGTTGCCACGTAACATTGTCACCTCTCTTGCCCTTTACCCCTCACTATAAATTTATAAACCCCATTACCACCTTTCCGTCTGCTTTGCTTTCTCTCACCTCTTGCGGATAGGAGACCTTTTTAGTACCTGTCTTCCAATACTGTATATTAGACATGAGCATCGCACGAATCCGAACACGTTTGAGTCGAACATTTCCGAACACCTTGAACTTTCAAACCGAACGTGTTCGGTTCGTTCGAACACTTTTCCAGGAAGTACTGTTTGAGTGTTCGCATTCAGGGGCGAATACTTAGATGTTCGAGGGAACATAGGAGGGTTCAGTCAACAGGACATGTCACACACATGCTGAGAATCACGCCACATGCAGACCAGACCACAACCTTATATGTATCTCTCTAGCTACTATATTGATTTCATGGGCCCTCCCCAGGAGGACAGAACGACACTTCCCCTGCTAGGATTAGGAAAAGGAAGGCAGTCACCACGACATAACACACACACACATTCCGGAAACCATGCACCTTGCACACAAACAAGCAGCCCAAGTATCAAGTTGGTCTAGCTAGCTACTAAAGGTTGATGGTCTCAAATCTGCAAGCACTGCATGCCGGTCACCACCACACAGACAAGGCCATAGAGCTAGGCCTGCATCAAACCCCACCCGCCCATAGCCCCCTCCCCTGCCCCATATGGTGCATAATCCCCCCTCAAGCCGCTGCTGCCTTGCGCCGCACGGCCACCTCCCGCACCCTCTACCGCTCTCGCCTCCTCCTCCGCCTCCTCGTCCTCCCCATCCTCAATGCACGGATCATGACATGACACACACACAGTACGAGAACCAAGCATCCTGCACACAAACAAGCAGGCCAGGTACCACGTATGTCTAGCTACTAAATGTTCATGGTATAAAATCAGCAAGCACTTCATGCCGGACACCACCATGCAGACCAATCCATAGAGCTATGCCTGTGTCAATCCCTGCCCGCCCATAGCCCCCTCCCCTGCCCCATATGGTGCAGAATCCCCCCCCACGCCGTTGCTGCTCTGCTCCACACGTAGTGATCGCCCCTACACGAACACAGCCGTTTGCCGAACCGAACACTGTTCGGTTCGGCGAACACTTTAAGCAAAACCAGGTGAGTCCTGTACCATGACCGTAGAGTCATGCACGCGCTCACCCGCTCGTTGTTGAGACGCTGCCGCTTCCACGAGATCAAGTCCCTACCCATGGAGAACGCTCTCTCACTGGCAGCAGATGTTGCTGGGATCGCCAGATAGTCCCGCGCCATCTGCTTCAGTGTGGCCATGTTCTCTGCCTGCTGCCAGTACTGCAGTGCCGTCATGCTGTAGACCGGCATCTCGGCCAAGTACCGCTCCACCTTGTCCTGCACTGCTACCACCCCACCTCCCCACCCCCCCCCAGCTGCTGCCCTCGCAGCCACCCGTGCCTGAAGCCTCTGCTTGCTAGGGAGGAACTCGTCGTCGTCGTCGTCCTCTGCTGCGACTGCAACTGCTGCTGCGGGGGGTGGCTGTGGTGCAGGAGCCTGGGCTGCTGCACGAGCACGATACTCAGCCACGTGCCTCCTCACCAGGCTAACGACCCTCTCAGCGCCCACACGCAGCCGCACCCTCCCACTCCCCTGCGCCATCAACTCTGGGTGCTGCTGCTCCCAGTGTGGCATGGAGAAGTACTCCGCCTTCATTGACGGGTCAAAGAAGGTGGCAATCGCGTGCTCGTCCCCAATCGCGAAGTCATACTTCTTCAAATGCTCCAGCGCAGCCTCAAAGAGCTGCTTCTCCAAGCTGTCGATGAGTCCGTTGTAATACGGCAGCACCATCGACAGGGTGGGATAAGCCGACCCTTTTGCAGCCTTGGAGACTTTGGCGAAAGGTTTCAGAAACCGCTCCAGAGCCTGCAAGGCCTCCCACTCCTCATCGGCCACGCGCAGTGACCGCCACTTCTCGCGCTCTTCCTTGGTGGTTCCCTGTAGTGGGGAGAGGGCGGGTGTGGGAAGAACGGGACCCGTGCTTCAATGTAATGGGCAAGTGCAAAAGGGTCAGCCAACAACGAAGAGTGGTACAGCTCAATGGTGTTAGCAAAGAATATCACGTGCATTTGATGACAAGTCTACCTGGTCAATGGAGAGTCACATGTTGATGAAGCGCTTCACTAAGAGGAATCGCACCACCATCTCGTGCGTTGACCCCCAGCGCGTAGGGCTGTCTTGGACCAGCTTGTGCGGGCCGCCCGGCAGTACCGTGTTCGCAACCTGAAGCTGCATCCAAGCTGCTGACCGTTTCGTGGACATGCAAGGTCGCGAAGCTTCTTCAAAAGCTTCTGCAGCGAATCGACGGCCAGCGCTGATTGAACCGCCAAGTTCACGATGTGTGCGAGGCATCTGCAGAAAGGGAAGAGGGATTGAGGGTTTTGGGAAGGAAACCAAGGGAGAGAGGGGAGACAGGGGAAAGGTCGGTTTAGGTGTTATGGATGGTCCAGGACATGAGGCTTTATGTTAGGGAGTGAAGGGATTGCATGGTATGGATAGGAGCGAAGGGACGAGTGGGAAGTTCAGGAATGGGGGAGGGAGGTACATAACGTACCTAAAGTGCGCGCACTCGTGGAAGTACAGCTTGCGCACGCCCTCCTCAGAGAGCAAACGGAGGGCCGCAACGTTGGAAGACGCGTTGTCGGTCATGAGACCGAGACAACGCGTCTCCAACTTCCATTCCTCCACCACCTCCTCCACCACCTCCTCCACCACCTCCTCCACCACCTCCTCCATCACCTCCTCCACCACCTCCGCAATCCGCACAGCACTATGCCCGTTAGGCATCTCCCGGAATGCGAGTACCATCTGACGCAGCTCCCAAGTGTCGGAGATGCAGTGGGCCGTCACCACCATGTATGATTTCCCATTAGGGCTGGTCCAAATGTCCGTGCTGTACGAAACCGGGCTGGTGTCCGTGGTCACTTGGTCTTCGCCAACTCGGCGATCGCAGCCTCCTTTGCCTTCTTGGCGAATACGACCGTGTCTCGTGCGACAGTCCAACGCGTGGGTAAAACACCTTTGAACTGCCACGTACACATGGGAAAGAATGGAGTAGGGGCGGGAGAGAGAGTGTTTAGGTGAATTCAATCGACAGGGAACGTAAGTAAGGAAGCACATGACTTGGGTGGACTTAGGTGGGACACCAATGCATGACATGAACTCATGAAGCGTTTGCTCACGGCGTCCGAGTCGACCACGCGGAACGCCAAATCGCATGCGACCACCAGCTTGGTGATCAACTGGCGCAATTTGGAGCGGCTGACCCTCTCCGCCAGATACCGCTCTATGCCCCCCGCCTTGCCACCGGTATGCGCACGACTGGATGCAGGCAGGCGAGGCCAAGTGCTCACCCCTGGGTAGTTCCTTTTTTCCCCGTTCAGTACCCCTTTGTAGCCTCCCTCGGGGAACGTCTCTCCAGGCTTCAGCAGATGAGGGTTGTAGTGAGAACGGTGCTTCCAGATGAGGGTTGTAGTGAGAACGGTGCTTCCAGATGAGGGTTGTAGTGAGAACGGTGCTTCCAGATGAGGGTTGTAGTGAGAACGGTGCTTCCAGATGAGGGTTGTAGTGAGAACGGTGCTTCCAGATGAGGGTTGTAGTGAGAACGGTGCTTCCAGATGAGGGTTGTAGTGAGAACGGTGCTTCCAGATGAGGGTTGTAGTGAGAACGGTGCTTCCAGATGAGGGTTGTAGTGAGAACGGTGCTTCCCGATGAGGGTTGTAGTGAGAACGGTGCTTCCAGATGAGGGTTGTAGTGAGAACGGTGCTTCCAGATGAGAGTTGTAGTGAGAACGGTGCTTCCAGATGAGGGTTGTAGTGAGAACGGTGCTTCCAGATGAGGGTTGTAGTGAGAACGGTGCTTCCAGATGAGGGTTGTAGTGAGCACGGTGCTTCCAGATGAGGGTTGTAGTGAGCACGGTGCTTCCAGATGAGGGTTGTAGTGAGAACGGTGCTTCCAGATGAGGGTTGTAGTGAGAACGGTGCTTCCAGATGAGGGTTGTAGTGAGAACGGTGCTTCCAGATGAGGGTTGTAGTGAGAACGGTGCTTCCAGATGAGGGTTGTAGTGAGAACGGTGCTTCCAGATGAGGGTTGTAGTGAGAACGGTGCTTCCAGATGAGAGTTGTAGTGAGAACGGTGCTTCCAGATGAGGGTTGTAGTGAGAACGGTGCTTCCAGATGAGGGTTGTAGTGAGAACGGTGCTTCCAGATGAGGGTTGTAGTGAGCACGGTGCTTCCAGATGAGGGTTGTAGTGAGCACGGTGCTTCCAGATGAGGGTTGTAGTGAGAACGGTGCTTCCAGATGAGGGTTGTAGTGAGAACGGTGCTTCCAGATGAGGGTTGTAGTGAGAACGGTGCTTCCAGATGAGGGTTGTAGTGAGAACGGTGCTTCCAGATGAGGGTTGTAGTGAGAACGGTGCTTCCAGATGAGGGTTGTAGTGAGAACGGTGCTTCCAGGTGAGGGTTGTAGTGAGAACGGTGCTTCCAGATGAGGGTTGTAGTGAGAACGGTGCTTCCAGATGAGGGTTGTAGTGAGAACGGTGCTTCCAGATGAGGGTTGTAGTGAGAACGGTGCTTCCAGATGAGGGTTGTAGTGAGAACGGTGCTTCCAGATGAGGGTTGTAGTGAGCACGGTGCTTCCAGATGAGGGTTGTAGTGAGAACGGTGCTTCCAGATGAGGGTTGTAGTGAGAACGGTGCTTCCACATGAGGGTTGTAGTGAGAACGGTGCTTCCAGATGAGGGTTGTAGTGAGAACGGTGCTTCCAGATGAGGGTTGTAGTGAGAACGGTGCTTCCAGATGAGGGTTGTAGTGAGAACGGTGCTTCCAGATGAGGGTTGTAGTGAGAACGGTGCTTCCAGATGAGGGTTGTAGTGAGAACGGTGCTTCGAGATGAGGGTTGTAGTGAGAACGGTGCTTCCAGATGAGGGTTGTAGTGAGAACGGTGCTTCCAGATGAGGGTTGTAGTGAGAACGGTGCTTCCAGATGAGGGTTGTAGTGAGAACGGTGCTTCCAGATGAGGGTTGTAGTGAGAACGGTGCTTCCAGATGAGGGTTGTAGTGAGAACGGTGCTTCCAGATGAGGGTTGTAGTGAGAACGGTGCTTCCAGATGAGGGTTGTAGTGAGAACGATGCTTCCAGATGAGGGTTGTAGTGAGAACGGTGCTTCGAGATGAGGGTTGTAGTGAGAACGGTGCTTCGAGATGAGGGTTGTAGTGAGAACGGTGCTTCCAGATGAGGGTTGTAGTGAGAACGGTGCTTCCAGATGAGGGTTGTAGTGAGAACGGTGCTTCCAGATGAGGGTTGTAGTGAGAACGGTGCTTCCAGATGAGGGTTGTAGTGAGAACGATGCTTCCAGATGAGGGTTGTAGTGAGAACGGTGCTTCGAGATGAGGGTTGTAGTGAGAACGGTGCTTCCAGATGAGGGTTGTAGTGAGAACGGTGCTTCCAGATGAGGGTCGTAGTGAGCACGGTGCTTCCAGATGAGGGTTGTAGTGAGAACGGTGCTTCAAGATCTCGTGATGGGCTGTGCGCCACGCCACGTAGTGGCGCATACCTGCGGAATGGTTGGAAATAGGGGAAGGGACAGCAGTTCAAAGAGGGGGAAAGGCAACAGGGGAACAAAGGTGTGAAAGGAAGGCGGTGAAGGAGAGGGCAGGGAAGGAGGGCAGAGATGGTAGAGTTGGGAACTGCGGGTGGTGAGTGATACGAATGGTGCGGCAGCAAAATGAATGGTATGGCAGCAAGTGTAGGACAGTGCATGCACAAACGGTGGTTAAATGAAGGAAAGGGGTGCCCTTTATGGGAGAGAAGACAATAGTGCGGCAGGGAAGGGACTAGGAGAGGGGGGGAGATTCAGCGAGGTATGAAAAATGAGAGAGTGTAAGAATATGAAGAAGGGGAGGATAGTGGGACACACCCGGGGTGGTTGTCCCTTGCTGCCAAGAGACTACTTCGTCGCACATCTTGCATTTCCTCCGTTCCCCCTCCAAGAGAGGCCCCCACATCTGTACCGCCCAGCCGGGGGGTCTTGGAGCAGGTGTTTTCTTGGGCGGAGGACGCGACTCATCCCCACAATCCGACACCCCCTTTCCCCTCTTGCGCTTTCCCTTTTCCTTACGATTTCCATTCCCCTTCCCCTTCCGTGGACGCCCACTCTTAGTAGCTGCTTGTGCACGACCCGCGTTAACCCTGCCCTTGCCCTTTCCTCTCCCCACTACGCCCTTTGAAGCCTCCTCCTGCACCTCCTCCTCTTCCTCGTCTGCCTCCGCCCCACCTTCCTCTTCTCCAGGAGAATACTGAGAGCCACTCTCGCTTCCGCTACCCGGAGAGAGAGGGGCGCTTCTCTGCACCTTAACCCATTTTCCAGCCAGCCCCTTCCTCCGTCATACCCTTCCCCCACCATCTCCCGCCTCCACCTCCTCCCCCGCCTCCTCCTCCTCCTCCTCCTCCTCCTCCTCCTCCTCCTCCTCCTCCTCCTCCTCCTCCTCCTCCTCCTCCTCTTCCTCCTCCTCCTCCTCCTCCTCCTCCTCCTCCTCCTCCTCCTCCTCCTCCTCCTCCTCCTCCTCCTCTGACCCCTCATCCTCCTCCTCCTCCTCCTCTGACCACCCCTCCTCCTCGTCCTCCTCGTCATCCGCCTCCTTCTCAACCACTCCCCCCGTGACCACCACCCTCCCACTAAGGTGGAATGTATGTTCGGAGGTGGGCATGCTGTGGAAGAGCGACCCGGGACCGGGCACCTCTCGGGGATTGCCCAGTTGGGCGTCGCCACCCACGCCCAACCCTGACGGCCCTGGCTGTCCGTCATTTCCCACCCTGAACCGGCAGCACCAGTCCCTTCCATACCCTTTATATCTAGTTTCTATACGAGGTTATTCTCTGGAAATGACGGTGGGGTAACGTCCGTGGGCGACTGCCTTGTCGCCACGGGTGAAAAGTCTCAGCGGACCACCACTAACGGTACCCCGCGTTTACACTATTATAGATCTGGAAAATACAGGCGTTTAACCACAATAATGCCTAAGTACCCTGCAATGTCCGCGCTTTTGGCTGTTGTTTGTGTAAACTAGGTGCCTAAGCCATGTCTTAACTTAAGGCAAGAGATTGAACTCGAAATGTGCTCAATCTCAGATCTCCGCAACCCTAAATCTGAAACCAGCGTGGCCAATGTCGCGCTGGTTTTTATCGCGCACACTTTGATGTTCGCGTAGGTGTAATTCGAACTAGAACCTGTTCGAGTTCGAGGTGGCGCGGTAAAAAAAGGCGTGCGAACTCGAACATGTTCGAGTCGAACCGAACAGGCGGTCGAGATTATGCTCATGTCTACTGTATATCGTGCCATTGTCCCCCTATGTAGAAAGCTAAACTCAGTCAAGTTACTGGGCCCGTTTCCTTCAGCCATTGGCAACTTGACCAGCTTGACAATTTTGTGAGTTTGCTCTTCTACCTTTCCGCTTTTCTTTTCAAACAGGTAACGTAATTGCTGCTCTTTCCTAATCAACTCCATTCAAACACTAAGGTGGGAAAGAATGCCACCGCACTTTCTACGTAAGCGTTTCTGCTGCACTAGCGTAAAACTACATTGCACACTTCTAAGTTCTTTTACTCATTCGTGGTCTATCATGTGTGCTGTGAGATCACTCTCTCTCATTCATGACATGAGCTCTAGTTTGGTCCAGCGGCACATTTCGAAATTCATGCGACGCTGTGGTTGGGATTTTTATCGATGCCATGTGTGAATACACGTTAGCCCTCTAGTAGCAAATCGGTAGAGGTTTACTCATTAGAGAAAATATTGCTGTTCTCATGAGTTTTTTTTGTGCTCTGTTAAAGCTGGGATACATTCATCATGGCGCATAAAATTAATACTCGCAGTGTCCATCCATGTTTCATTTATTCTGACTTTTAAAATAAATGCACAGCACACACAGTGTTTCCCCCCCGGCTTATCAAGCAAGTACTTTTTCCGTACCCTCCAACTCATTTGTTTCTTTCTTGTCAGGAACCTTCGTGACAACAATCTGTGGAGCACTATCCCAGACTCCTTCAGCCGCCTCAGAAGCCTTCATTTGTTGTGAGCGGAACGGCGCATTCAGTTGACATATGAGCCACCACAGCTAGACACACACACACCCCGACTACCCACCGAGTCGAGTCCCTCCCTGACTGCCCGTTTTTAGTTTCAGAACGAATATTGTTTTCGTGCATCAGAGCGTCGAAGATATGTTGGTTCGGCCCCGAGCTGCATCAGAGCGTCGAAGATATGTTGGTTCGGCCCCGAGCTGCATCAGAGCGTCGAAGATATGTTGGTTCGGCCCCGAGCTGCATCAGACACGACACAAGCAACAAGGAGAGAAGGAGCTCGCCTTTCATTCTGGGAGAGGGTTAAGGGCTTGCACGGGAGGAGGGGCGAGTGACAAGGGCTTGGCCGAATCGAGGCGATTATCACTCTCGTCTCGAGGAGATAAGTTCTCACGTTGACAGGCCTTGTCAAGCCAGACCTAAAAAGGATTGACCTGTAGTGGTTAAACTTCGGATTGGCAAACCTGCTCTCCAATCTGACTTGGACCGGTGTCTGTTTGGGGTTTAGGACATGTTTGAGATGCAGGGGCCACTGGCTTTGGAGGGGGGATGGGAGGAGAGGGGGGGGGGGAGTGGCAGAGTCCCACGAGTAGAGTAGAGTAAAATCGTTCGCCCTGAGAATAAAACCAAAGCCTCTGGCCGAGCCGAGTAACGAGTCATTTTCTAATGAATAAAGCTAGTCTCGAGTTTTACTCGACTTGGCTCGAAACTGGACTGAGTCAAGCCAAGACGAGTCGGGTACAACTTACGACCCGTAGAATGCTCGCGTGGAGTCGCATGCCGCACAATCCACGGCATGAATGGCTGGCTGGCTCAAGGATGGCATGGCATGTATGTTTTGAACCACGTTTCCAAGCATATTGGATGAGCCAGCAGAAGTCAATATTCTCCATCATAACCTCCCTCATTGATGCCCTCCCAATCTTCTTCCCTGGATTTCCATCCCAATGTGGAATTCTTCTGACATTCCATCAGCGATCTCTACTTGAGTGGTGTGACCGGGGCTATTCCCACTTTCATTGCGGACTTCACCACCCTGACATACTTGTGAGTATCGCAGTGCTCTGGCAAGCTAGGCCAGGCGAGGCCTGTGTGTATTGTGATTATTGCAACCCTGTTCGGACTTGGCCACGCTGACAAAACTTTTGAGGATTATGACATTGCATTGCTAGGCCAGGCGGCGAGGTTTGCGCCTGGCAAGCTAGTCCAGGCGAGGCCAGCGCGAACCCAGGATGGACGTGACCTACCTGACATTGTGCGAGTATTGTGACATTGCATTGCTAGACCAGGCAAGGCCTGCGCCTTACAAGGTAGGCGCTTAATCGCTTCTCTTTTACATGTGAGCACTTATCCTTTTTTATTCGTATGCAATCTGCACAAGCCACATCCATACTAGACAGTCCAATGCTGGAAACCAAGCCTATTTTGCACGGCATTCACAATGAATTAAATTGGGCTCACAACACTATGACAGTTGGGGCCTCATGTAATGCACTATCCATGTAGTGCACTATACATGTAGTGCACTATCCATGTAGTGCACTATCCATGTAGTGCACTATCCATGTACTGCACTATCCATGTAGTGCACTTGTTAAAATATATGTTGTGTAGCATGCCAACACATGTGACTGTACACCAATTGTGGTGTACAGTTGGGTTGGGACTACACCCAACTTTGGGTGTAGTCTTGCACTTTGGGGTGCCAATCCACCCAATTGTGGTGGAGCCCCCAAATGCAACCCACTTGGCTTATGGGTGCCTCACTTCCCACAAGTGAGGTCATCTCAAGCCAAGTGGGCCTAGGGTTGCCTCACCCTATGGTCACCTTCACCCTTCTCTTCCAAGCCTCTCTTCCAACTATGTATGCTAGGTTTCTCCTCTAATGAAGTTACTTGTTCAATTTGCTACTTTCACATGGTATAGAGCTACTTGTTCCTAGGCCTTACCTCTCCCTCCCTTCAGTTTTTTTTTTTCCCCATGGGCCCACCCCACAGCTACAAACCCTTTCCTACGCGTGGCTCAACTAGCCATCACTAGCATACTCTCGCCACGACCTACGTCGTCGCCGCCGTTCCCCCCCCCCCTCCCGCCGCGATTACGCCTTCCTCGCCTGCGGATACCACCGCCGCGAGCGCAACGCCGCTGTCCCCTCCTCCCCCCCGCCGCGACCCCCTGTCGCCGCCTCCCCCTCTCGCCGCCGCGCCTGATTCGGCGCCGCCTGCGCATCCCGCCGCCGCGACGCCTCGTCGCCGCCTGCCCGTCCCTCCGCCGCGACGTCACGTCGCCGCGTTCCCGCCGCCGCGCCTGCTACGGCGCCGCCTGCGCATCCTGCCGCCGCGACGCCTCGTCGCCGCCTGCCCGTCCCTCCGCCGCGACGTCTCGTCGTCGCGTTCCCGCCGCCGCGCCTGCTTCAGCGCCGCCTGCGCATCCTGCCGCCACGACGCCTCGTCGCCGCCTGCCCGTCCCTCCGCCGCGACGTCACGTCGCCGCCTCCCCTTCCCGCTGCCGCGCCTGCTTCGGCGCCGTCTGCCCGTCCCGCCGCCGCGACAGCTCGTCGCCCCATGCCCGTCCCGCCGCCGCGACCTAACATCGCCGCCTGCGCATTCCGCCACCGCGACAGCTCGTCGCCCCCCTGCCCGTCCCGCCGCCGCGACCTAACATCGCCGCCTGCGCATTCCGCCGCCGCGACTGCTCGTCGTCACCTTCCCGCGCCCCCTCCCCCCCCCCCGCCGCGATTTCGCATTTCCGCCTCCCCTCCCACCGCCGCACCTGCTTCTGCGTCACCCACGCATTTCGCTGCCCCTTCTGCATCGCCACCCGCCCGCAATTTCCCCCGCCGCAACTGCAACATCGTCGCCCCGCGGTTCCCGTTAACGCGACTGCGCCGCCGCCGCCCTGCCGCCGCCACTGCTTCGGCGCCGCCTGCCCATCCTCCACCGCGACCGCGCCATCCCCGCCCACACTTCCTGCCGCCGTGATTGCCCCGTCGCCGCCTGCAGATTCAGCCGCAACTGCACCCTCCCTTCCTCCTCTCCCTACTCCTCTCCCCCCCCCCTCCCCCTCCCCCTGCGCCCCTCGTTGCCGCGGCCTGCCTGCCGCCGCCGTCCCTCGTTTCGCCGCCGCAGCCATTTCCCCGCCGCCTTCACCTTTCCGCCGCCGCAACCTGCTTGCAGCCGCCGCTCTCAACATCGCCGCCGCGGCCCTTCCGCTGTCGCCTGCGCCCTTCGTCGTCGCGGCCTGCTTGCCGCCTCCGCCCCCGACTTTGCCACCGCCTCCCCTTCCCGCCGCCGCACGTTCGCACAGCCGCCTGCACCCTTGTCACCGTCGCTCCCTGCACCTTGAACGCCTCTGCCCTCCACCGCTGTCTCCCTCCTTTACCCCCCCCCCCTCCCTCCTCCTGCCAGCGGCAGCAGCAGCGGCAGCAGGGGAAGTGCAGCAGCCTCAGCAGCAGCAACTTCACCCTTGGCCGCCGCGGGTCCACCCGCCGTCACCCATCATGACTGCTACCCCCCCTGCCCCTCTCCCCCCTCCTCACTGGAGCAGTGTTACTCCTCGCCCCTCCCTTCTCAACACTCCGACCCTCCACTCCTCCCCCCCCCCCCCTTATCTCCGCCTGCTCACCTCCTCCCCCCCTCCCCATCTGCGGCGTTTCCAGCAGCTCCAGCATCAGCAGCAGCAGCACCTCCAGCAGTGGCAGCAACCACAATTTCTCCAGCCACACCCCCCACATCTCCTCCAGCCGCGGCAATCGCAGCAGCAGCAGTTCTTCCTACACCGACAGCAGCCGCAATCTCTCCAGCCTCACCCGCCACAGTTTCTCCATCCCCAGCAGCAGCAGTCCTTCCAGCCGCAGCAGCAGCAGTCCTTCCAGCCGCAGCAGCAGCAGTCCTTCCAGCAGCAGCAGCTGCCACAGTTCCTCCCGCCGCAGCAGCAGCAGTCCTTCCAGCCGCAGCAGCAGCAGTCCTTCCAGCCGCAGCAGCAGCAGTCCTTCCAGCAGCAGCAGCTGCCACAGTTCCTCCCGCCGCAGCAGCAGCAGTCCTTCCTGCAGCAGCAGCAGCCACAGTTTCCCCAGCCGCAGCAGCAGCAGTGCTTCCAGCAGCAGCAGCTGCCACAGTTCCTTCCGCCGCAGCAGCAGCAGCAGTCCTTCCAGCAGCAGCGGCAGCCACAGTTTCTTCAGCCGCAGCAGCAGCAGTGCTTCCAGAAGCAGCACCAGCCACAGTTCTCTCCATCCGCAGCAGCAGCAGTGCTTCCAGCAGCAGCAGCCACCACAATCTCTCCAGCCGCAGCAACCGCAGCAGCATCGGTGGTGCTTCCAGCAGCAGCAGCAGCCCAATCTCTCCAGCCGCAACCGCCACAGTCTCTCCCACCGCAGCAGCCGCCGCAGCAACAGTACTTACAGCAGCAGCACCCGCCGCTCTCTCCCTCTTCTATCCATGAAACAACTCTCCAGTACTCTGTGTTCCCTCCCTCTCCTTCCCCCCCCACCCTGGACTTTGTCCTTGACAGTGGGGCCACCGAAACCGCACTAAAAGACGCTGGCACCCTCACCCCCCTCCCACTTCCCACCCAGGTTCATGGTGCCGACTCCAGCTTTTCCATCCCCTGCACTCACCTCTCCACCCTTCCTTGCACCGCCTTCCCATCCGCTACAGTCACCGGTCTCCACATCCCTACCCTTCGCAATAACCTCCTCTCCCACCGTGAACTCCAAGGCGTTGGCATTACCGCCATATACCCTGGCTTTGCTTCCTACTGCGATCTCTATCACACCGCCTCTGGTCGTTTCCTCCTGCGCATTCCCCTTTGCCCTCGCACTCGCCTTTACACGCTCCGCACACCCCGTCCCTCCTTTTGTCACGTCACCACTCGTGCTGGTACTTCCACCGGTCCCCTTCTCCCTCCCCCTCCCCCTCCTCTTCCCCCTCACCCTCCCCCTCCCCTTCTCCCTCTCCCTCCGCTATCCTCCTCCTCTACTCCATCCGCCTCCTCCTCCCCCCCCAACTTTTCCCCCACCCCATCCCCCTCCTCCTCTACTGCCCTCTCCCATCCTGCGGTGCTCCTACATCACAGACTCGGCCATCCCAACTTCGCCGCACTTCGCTCCACCGTCACCTCTCGCCTCCTTAACAGCCTTCCTCCCACCTTACCTCCCCTCCCCTCCTCCCCTGCTCCCCCATGCCCATCATGCATTCATGGCAAGCTCAAACAGTTCCCCCATCACAGTCACCCCACCTTCGCTCCCGCCCCCATTGACCTTGTTCACATGGATCTCTGGGGCCCGTATCCCATCCGCTCTCGTCAGGGGCACAGGTACATGCTCGTGCTCGTCGACGACCACAGTCGGTACTCCACCGTCTTCTTTCTTCACACGAAAGACCAGGTGCCGGCTGTGGTCATCAACTGGGCTGAGCAGTGCCGCAACCACTTCAAACGTCCCATAGGCCGCCTTCACTCTGACGGTGGGGGTGAGTTCATCAATCATACTCTCTCCACTTACTGCAAAACATACGGCATTCAGCAGACCTCCACCCTTCCCCACTCCCCTCAGCAAAACGGCATCGCTGAGAGTCGCATCCGTGAGATCACCAAGATTGCGCGCTGCCTCATTGCTCACGCCTCCACCCCTCCCTCCCTCTGGAGCTATGCTCTCATTCATGCCGCCCTCCTCCTCAATCTCCGCTCCCACCCTCAGCATCCCTCCTCCTCCCCCACAGAACTCTGGTCCAAGGCCAAGCCTGACGCCGCAGGCCTTCGTGTTTGGGGCTGCAAGGCGTTCGTCCTCATTCCACCGGCCGACCGCTCCCGCGCTGCTGGCAAGCTCGCTCCTCGCGCTCTGGAGTGTGTCTACCTTGGGCACAATCGTGATTCCCCTGGCTACCTATTCCTCCACCCTCCCACCAATCGCCTCATCCGCAGCATTGACGTCGTCTTCGACGAGTCCACTCCCTACTACTCCATCCCTCCTCCTGACCCCCTCCCTCCTCCCACTCGCCCCCTCGCTTGGACCGACACCGTCCTCCCGCCTCTTCTCCCTCCAGCGCCTC